TATATATATTTACATACACCGGTATATATGACCGACACATTCAGCAGCAATGCACAGCACACACACATTTAAATAGTAACAGACAAAGGACCAGAGCCTGCTATAGGTATTTCAACAACAATCTGTGGGACTGCCCTACAGGCGTGTATCTGACGTCAACACTCAATCCATTGGCGGGAGCTGACGGATTGAAGACAGGCACAAGAACTGATAAATGGCCCAAATCCTTGGTTTGGAGAAGCCCTTCTTGCCCAGACAAGGAAAACTTTAAGTACACTTGTTGGAGTCCTAACTGGGCACAACTTGCTCATTCACCATAAAATGGTGATGGACTCCATGACAATAGTCTGTGTGATGCCTGTGGCATTGAATTAGAGACCTCTTTGCACTACTTAGACCAATGCCTGGCTCTGAGCAGTCAAAGGAAAATAATTCTTGGAGAACCTTTTATGGATCCTGAGAGGCTCAGAGAGTTTCTAACCTGGTGACCTTCCAAGAGACACGATTAAAAGCTCAGTGTCTCTTTGGGGAGAGTAATGGGCCCACTTATGAGGCCCCCGCTCACGAGTCTTCTCCACATACCATACCATACCATACCATACCATACCATACCATACCATACCATACCATACCATACCATACCATACCATACCATACCATACCATACCATACCCTAACACAGACGTTCAGTTAAGAAAACTGGGACAAAGTAAACAAACACTTTCATCAAAAATGGTTAGATAAGTTGTTGCATTTTTTTCAGAACAGTACAGTATAAAACAGACCTTTGGCCAGCTATTGCCTGGATGAAGACTTCTGACAAGCACGTAGAGAGAAAACTGTTTATCTTGGAGCCAAACTAGGCACATTTTCTGAAAGTAGACAAAAATTCCTACGTTTTGATGTATAATCTGTCTTTGTAACATGAAAATTGTGGCTGTAGTAGGAATTTGTTTGCAAAAAAATTTTTTTTGTAAAGCCAAACCTTCTCACTCTAAGGTCACATGACCTAGAGTGAGGAGTTTCCCATGTAATCCAATGGGGATTTTTAGATTAGTTTTTTGCAGATTACGTCGCCATGGTAACAGATTACGTAAAGATAAATAATAGCACACCTCGTGAGATCGACGCCGATGATATTCTGTGACCAATGTCATGGCTGGTAAAGTACTATTGATGAGAGATGTGACATTCCAAATCTTTTGAATGGCTCTTTAAAACAAAATATGGGAACTGACTGTCGCAGACAATTGAAAGCAGTTTTTTTTCTTCCTCCTTGTGGTTTCCTCGTCTTTTCATTTTTTAAAGAACTCATTGGTGGGCTGGATGTGGCCTGCTGGCTGCCAGTGGAATAGCACTGCCGTATGCAATAACATGACTAACCATTCAAAACTGAACAATTTTTGAAAGGAATGAATAGTTAAAATTCTGTTTCCTTTAATCTCGTCTTTTAGAAACGATATTTGTCAAATAAATATTGATAGAAAAATGACCAGACTATCCCTTTAAAAACAACTATCACACTGTTGATAAATGATAAAAGAGCTCTCAAACTTCCTGGACTATGATGATGTACGATATACTTTAATGACAAGAAAACAAGTTGAAAACACTAACTCATGGAGTTCTGTTGATGTGTACAGATGGATTTCAGCGATCAAAGCTTCGATAAACAAGTGGCTGCCTTTACATCAGGTCCTTCAGGAATATATGACTCCACCACCAGAGGAGACTAGAATGTGAAACACAGGACAGAACAATATTCTGCTTATACTACACGGTTCCTGCTCTCAAGATGGCTCCCACTCTTTCCCTTATGCTTCAATAGGAAATAAAGCTGTTTACAACCTTTCAGTTCTGCTGCACTTTTAGCTCCTGTCTTCAAACCTTTTGTGGAAGTATTTCTTAATTTACCAATGTTTTTATTCATGTAATTGCTTTTTATTGCACATTTAGATAAGTGGACACTGATCTTTGAAACAATGCCTTCAAATAAAGGTGATTTGCACAAACTAAAGTACATAAATGTATTATTTGTGTTACTGAGCAAGCTAGTAGAAGTTATTTTACAAACATGAAATTGGAATCTTTTGTGTGTTTTTGTTTACTTGAAGTTAGTTTTAAATTGTTTTAAAACCTGGTAAAGACGATTTTTGTGAAACCCTGTCAGGACTGCCTCCATCTTACTGCTGAAATTCTGATGTTCAGATCTGCTTTTGTCAACTTTTTCAAAGCTTGTAATTAGTTTTTTCCCTAATTGTTTTAAATAATAAAATATTGATTGTCGTGGAACATTGTAAAACTACATGAAAACAGATCAGAAGAGCTTTTCAGTGGGGTTCATTAACTGGGTAAACTAACAAAAGCACTTCTGCTGATGGAATGAGGCACTAATTGCTCCACGTTGACTTGAGGGATAAAATTTTAGCTTTGCATTTGTAAAAGATGATTCAGTAAAAGATTTACAATAGCTGAAAAATATAGCATTTAAAATCCTTTTGAGTCTTTTTCATACAGAATTGTAATATATGGAGATTATTGTTAATAAGTTAGTAAAAAGATTTGCTGTAAGCTTGAACTGCTGTTGGCATGTGCAAAAGAAATGTCTGTTTGTGCCTGTGTTTTTTCAGTATTTTTTCATTGTAAATCCTCTTCGATGACATACTGCCATTTCACATTTATCTCCTACCCACTCCACAGCAGAAACAGATAAGATAGACTTTATGCAATAGTTAATTTAATTTTAACATTGTGGTGAACACTTACATCCCAGTTGTTTTCACACCAGAAGGCTCATTGTGAAAGTTAACTGAGAGGTTTTTGGAGGGAAAAGAGAATTAGCCTACTGTTATTCATGGATTGTTCCTGTTGTTCATTGTTGGAAATGCATCTTTATTAAAGAGAGACTCCAATATCTTGTTGTTTCCCTTTTGCTGACTTCCACAACATAGCTATTTTTGTGCTCTGCTTTATCTGCCTTTATGCCTGTTTGCTAATCTGATAATCTCCTTGTGTCACTTTCTTTATTTAATTGTCCAAACTATAGATACTGGATTTCTAACTTTGTTCTGTAAAAAAAAAAACACTAAAACGTAATTATTGTTGAACAAGGCCTTAAATGATTTCTTTTGATTGCTTTTTGTGTTTGTCACATCTGTCTCTGAGCTAACAAGTGACGGAGAAAAGAAACCCTTTTAACATGAATAATGTATTTTAAAAAAGGTGTATACACAGCATTTGTACAGTACTATGTGAAACACCAAGTGTAAAACAAAATGTTTAAAAATGTGACGTTATCATCTTGCAATAAAAGCAAACGCTGACGTTGCTGAAGATGACATTCAGAATTTAAATTCAAAATGTTTTCATTGAAAACAATATGGGTGGTACCTGTGGTCCGGCAGTTTGAAGTGCAGCTCAGACACCAGCCACAACTGCAAGTTTTGATGTCTGTAGGGAAATGTTAGCAGTGTTAGCAGTGTTAGCAGTGTTAACGGTTGCATTTGTTGCAGAATGACGTCATAACAAAAGCCCAACAAAAAAGGCTGCATTCCATTCTGAAATACTGAAAATTAAACTTTAACATTTAGCCACATTTACATTTACACATTTAGATTTAGACATTTAGACATCACATTTAACGTTTAAATTTAAATAAAAATAGTAACATTTAAGAACAGGGAGCTAAATAATAAAATGTTAGGATTTTACACTCAGAAAATTAGCTAAATAATGAAAATGTGTTATGTGTTAATTATTATTATTATTATTATTATTATTATTATTATTATTATTATTATTATTATTGTTCTTTCCTGAAGTGGCCTAGCCTGGCCATCATCTTCCTAGTCACGGTAATTCTAATCTCCCTTCTCTGCTCCATCTGGGTTTTCTTCCCACTGACTTGGATTTCTTTGGTAGAATTTCAACCTGGCCAATCAGCAAACAGAAGGAGGAGTTGTGAACGATGACGTTGATTTTCTGCACTGTTATAGTCCGCCTGTAGCTTAGCAGTGGTAGAGGAGGAATTGAATTGAAGGAGTTGAAGTCTGTGCTGACAAGGTTTCTAAATTAAATTAAATTAGTCTCACAAAGCCTGCAGCACTGATTTACAGCCGTCTCATTCGGCTCTGTACTTCTCTCTTCCCAATAAGGAATGGTTGTTTACAGTGCACGCAATTTCCGATTAGCTTTTTAGTTTAGCTTCCTTCATGGTCAAGTTGGCGCACTGCATACATCAAGGCCAAATGTTAGTAAAATCAGATCCAATTATTTTAATTTCCAACAGATTCGACACCTCCAGCAAGCAATGGTTTTTCAATAGCCGGGGGTCCAGACTCTCTGTACGAAGCAAAGCAAAGAACAAGGGGCTGTTTTTTTTTTTTTTTTACCAGGCTAGAAGTGGCCTAATTAAAGAAAAGTCTTTTGAAATATTTGACATTGATACAAATGATATTTGAAAATTCATTTATGTGAAATGAGCCTTTAAGCTTTTGAAAGTCTTAATTCTAGCTTTTATTCTGAAGGTTCAGACAACTGTGTATTTTGTCTTCTCTAGCAGACCGCCCCACTGCTTTCTTAACTTCATTCACTGTGCAGACTCTGCAGAACCACGGGGATTACAATGAAACTCCTTTCACTCATTTCCATGATTGCTGGACTTTCTCTCTCTTTAGAGGACTGTCCACCTCGCTGTAAGTGTGATGGGAACATCAACAGTGTTTCATGTGTTGGAGTACAGGCGATGCCTTTCTTTGATCCTTCCACACAAGAGGTGTAAGTAACAGCATCTTTATGGCACACAGTTTAGTTAGGGAAGGTGGTGTCAGAAATGAACATCTTTATATTTGTGTTTCAGGTGGCTTGTGAGGACAAACATTTCTTCCATTCCTCAAAATGCGTTTGCCAATTTACTCAACGTTTCTCACATGTAAGATTTTCTTTTTCCTCATGTCAACCATTTTCTTTCAAGCAGACAATTAAGGATGTTTTTCATCACGATCAATAAAAACTAGATATGTAAATGTTAATGACTAAATTAAAACAAATATTTGTCAACTGCATTGCACATGTAATGGCATTTTATCTGCCCATTGGTGACATTCTAAAGAAAACTGTTAAAAAATGTTGTATGCTGCTTTCTAAAGATTTTATGAAACATATAAATTATGACAGTGGGCAAACTGTATTGAAAAGCAGTGAAAGAAAAGGAACAATGATTATAACAACAAAAAAAATACACAAGAGTCGAAACTAAGAAGTCATTAAAGAAAAAGTATATCAAGTCCTAGCAGAATTTTACATTTATTTATTTTATTTTATTTATTGATTTTTTTTGTGTGTGTGTTTATAACATCCAGTCTGTTTCCTTGAATATAAGATTTGAGGGAAGTTTGTATTAGGAAATACAGTACATTTGATTTTGGTGGGAAAAAAAGACCAGTCGTTACAAATCACTAATTTATTTGGTAAACTTAGGATTATTAAATAACAAATAAGAATCATTAAGTGATTTCTGTTTTTCAAAATTGTTTAACCCTCAGAAAGTCGTGGAGTAAAAAAACTAATATTTGTTTTTATTTACCTGTACGTTTATTTATTTAGTTATTTAGTTAACTAAGTTTTTCATCGCTAAGGCTAAGGCCCCCTGGGTGGCCACTAGTAGGGGCCCTCAGAAAACTGGATAAGGAAAAAAACAGCAAAAATAAAAATTAATCTAATAAGTGCTCTAAATGATAGTCATAAAATCAAATCTGTTTTTCAATAATTATTTTAAATATAATTCATAATAATATTTAAGAGAGCTTTGAATATTTTTGTTTTGTTCTCATCGTCAGCAGTTTGTTAAAAATTGTTTCTTCAGTGGGAATACAACACAGTGTTTAAAACATGTTGGTTAATAAAATTCTTATGCTAAACAAATGTAATGATAAGACAACAGTGAACAAAAGTTATAAAAACATTATAAAAGTTGATGCTTCTTTACATATTTTGTAGCATTGAAAGGCTTTATGGCTGCTTACCTAATGCAGTGTGTCTGACAATCTTTGAAACAACTGAGGGCCCAATGCATTGAGGGATTAATAGATGGGAAGATGGATCCTGCAGGTGATAAAGCATTTGACATGCTGCCAGTGGAGTTTTATGAGAGTCAAAGTGATTTCTTAATAAGGCTTAGACTAAATAATGTGTTCAGCTTTAAAATAGACAGTGACTTTCTAAAACTGGCCTAGCCAAATGAAGCTGTATTCCTCATTGTTTGCTTTGTCACAGTCAGAATTTAGTGAGACTTCAACTGAAAACTTGCCTGCTTTCTCAAGCCATCTTGTTGTGTGGCTGGAGTTTGTCCTAATCGTGACTGGTCAGATTGACTTGTCTTGTGGGACAACTTTAAAGAGGAAGTAATAATATGACTTATGGTATTTATTTTATCAAATAAAAAGGATTGTGAACATGTAAACATAATTTATTGACTTCAGATTTCGTGCTCCACGCAAAGAGATTTAGTAAAACCAAAGAGCATGACCAGTCACCCATCGTGACAGTGTTGAGGGGCATCTTTCTCTTGCCCCCTTCCTTAATGCGCACAAGATGGTATGCACAGTGAAGGTCCAATTTGGGAAGCATGGTCAAGCTTTGAAGAGATTCAAAGTAGGAATCAGTGAGTGAGATTTATTCCAAATGCTGATCATTTTCATTAGCTTGTACTCATGGACTGGGAGATTTATCCTCACAAAGAACCACAGATACTAAAACATACTAATACTGTATGTTTCTCAATGGTTGACTTTCCAGTTGTGATAATTACAAACTAAGGTAGGAGTTCTGTCACATGGACACAGTTTAACTGAATTCAATGCATTTTCAACTAATTAAACCTAAAAAATCTCTCAGCTTTTGGGTTTCCATTGAGTTTTATCTGATCTGAGAGGGGTAAACTCACTGTCATACCTGATAGCAGCAGCTGTATTGTCAGATTTGGGCAGATGGTACCATACTACATGGAATTGTCACTTTGGTGTGGTATGAAAGCTGTACAGAACACTTAATGAATAACTTTTTTTTCTAAGAAACTCAATGCACATTACTGCAAATCTCTCCAATATGAAATACACTGAAAAAGGTTATTATGTTTGTTTTGTTGCATGTTTTTCAGATACATCACTGATGATGACTCTTTGAGATCTCTTGAGAAGCATTCTTTTTACAACCTGTCCACTGTCACAGACATGTATGTAAATAGTGAAGCTAGAAACTGCTCTGTTAGTTCCTTTGTGATGATTTAATCTGCAAAACAAAATAATTAATAATAATAATTGTTATGGCAATATTTATTTAACAAAGACAGAAATACGTGGTCCAAGAATGAAGGTACTCYGTGAGATGATCAGCTGAGTTTTATTGCAACAACAGGAAACACAGAGAACAACCTGGCCTGTCTCTGTGCCTCTTCTTCTCTCTGTCACTGTCTCTCCACACTGCTGTTGAACACTGTGTCTCGAGAGGCCTATACTCTATATATATTAACAAACAACACTCTGTCATCTTAGCAATATTTGATACAAGGTCAATGGAAAACACAAAGATAAACACAAGTGATATCTAASARNGVCTGTTGTTAGCAAATCTTGTTCTGACTTTAATCATTCTATCTGCAGATGAACAGCATGTCATAAAAACCTAGGTCATTAAAGGTTGTCATGAATTATTTGCTTAAACATAAAAGTATTAGTTCCATTACAATAATAATAATAATACATTTTATTTGGTGGTGCCTTTCTGACACTCAAGGACAAGCAACAGAGTAAAACAAAATGAATACATTTTGCACATAAAAACAAAATACTCATTAAAAACAGTAAAAAATCAAACTACAAAACTTAAACTTAAAATCAGCTGTGGTAAGCGATCCTGAAGAGGTGAGTCTCTTGTGAGCAAAACAAAAGTAAAAGAATTTCAATTCTTTATGACCTCAAAGATGTGAAAGGAAACAAAATATATCTATTTGTGTTAGCTTAGGGCTGCACCTAACAAATATTTTAATAATCGATTAATCAGCCATTATTTTTTTCTATTCATCGAGTAATCATAAAACATAAAAAAACATAATTTTGACCTTTGTTCCAAATAGAACATTTGGACTGACAAAGCATATTGCAATAGTGTAAGCAAGGCAATGAATCAACATTTTTCCTCCAAAATTTCTAAAACAAACAAACAAACAAACAAACAAACAAACAAACAAACAAACAAACAAACAAAAAGAAAACAGTGTAAAGAGCTCTCCTGACAATGACCTCTTGATCTGAAGTCTACCTTTCTAACAGAACTGAACTATTTTCTTTAAAGTCACTTTTGACCTCAATATTGTCATGTTTCCTGAAGAATCATTGTCCTACACTAAATTAGTTATAGTTTGAAAAATGCTTACACATATTCTTTTTATCTTTTATACCTCTCCTGGGCTGCCACCTTTTCGTGGTGGAGCGGTTTGAGTGTCCCAGTTATCCTAGGAGCTATGTTGGGTCACCCAAGACAAACAGGTCTTAGGTGAGGGATCAGACAAAGTGCAGCCCAAAGACCTGTTATGATGAGTGCAACAGTTGGACTTGCAGTTCCCTCTCCCAGAGGCAGGTCATCAGGGCCCCACTCTGGAGCCAGGCCTGGAGGTGGGGCACTGTGCCAAGCACCTGGTGGCCAGGCTTTCGCCCATGGAGCCTGGTCGGGCACAGAAGAGGAGACGTGGGTCCCCCTTCCCATGGGTTCACCACCTGTGGGAGGGGCCATAGGGGTCAGGTGCAATGTGTGTTGGGCAGTGGTCGAAGGCGAGGACCTTGGCGGTTCGATCCTCTGCTACAGAAGCTGGCTCTAGGGATGTGGAATGTCACCTCTCTGGTGGGGAAGGAGCCTGAACTGGTGTGTGAGGTTGAGAGGTTCCGACTAGATATACAGTAGTCTAACTCACCTCGACGCACATCTCTGGCTCTGGAACCAGTCTCCTCGAGACGGGTTGGACACTCTTCCACTCTAGAGTTGCCCATGCTGAGAGGCGCAGAGCAGGAGTGGGCATACTTTTTGCCCCCCATCTTGGCGCCTGTACGTTGGGGTTTACCCCGGTGAACGAGAGGGTAGCCTCCCTCCGCCTATGGGTGTGGGGGACGGGTCCTGACTGTTGTTTGTGCCTATGTGCCTAACAGCAGCTCAGATTACCCACCCTTTCTAGAGTCCTTGGAGGGGGTGCTGGAGAGCGCTCCTAACGGGGACTCCCTCATTCTGCTGGGGGACTTCAACAAGTTCGGAGAGGCCAGAGAAAAGACTTCTGTACGGCTTTGAGGCAATTCTGGTCCACCATCCGGCATCTTGGTGGGGGAAGAAGTTCACCACCAACACTGTTTATGGTGGGGATGGTGCGCTGATGACCTCAACTTGGGACGTTGTAGGTCGGTGGGCGGAATACTTTGAAGACCTCCTCAATCCTACCGACACATCTTCCCATGAGGAAGCAGAGCCTGGGGACCCTGGGTCGTACTCTCCAATCTCTGGTGCCGAGTCACCGAGATGGTTAAAAAGCTCCTCGGTGGCAGGGCGCTGGGGTTGGATGAGATTTGCCTGGAGTTTCTTAAGGCTCTGGATGTTGTGGGATTGTGTTGGTTGATGAGACTCTACAATATTGCATGGACATCGGGGGCAGTTCTCCTGGATTGGCAGACCGGGGTGGTGGTCCCCCATGTGTTCCAACTATAGAGGAATCACACTTCTGAGCCTCCCTGGTAAGGTCTATTCAGGGGTTCTGGAGAGGAGGGTCCATCGGATAGTCAAACCTTGGATTCAGGAAGAGCAGTGTAGTTTTCGTCCAGGTCGTGGAGCAGCGGACCAGCTCTATACCCTCAGCAGGGTCCTGGAGGGTGCATGGGAGTTCAACCAACCAGTCTACATGTGTTTTGTGGACTTGGAGAAAGTGTTCAACTGTGTCCCTCGGGGACTCTTGTGGGGGTATTCCGGGAGTATGGGGTATCAGGCCCGTTGATAAAGGCTGTTAGGTCCCTGTATGACCAATGCCAGAGCTTGGTCTGCATTGCCGGTAGTAAGTCGGACTTGTTTCCGGTGAGAGTTGGACTCCGCCAAGGTTACCCTTTGTCACTGATCCTGTTCATAACTTTTATGGACAGAATTTTTAGGCGCAGCCAAGGTGTTGAGGGGATCCTTATAGGTAGCCTTAGGATCTAATCTCTGCTTTTTGCAGATGATGTGGTCCTATTGGCTTCATCAGATCGTGATCTCCAGCTCTCACTGGAGTGGTTCGCCACTGAATGTGAAGCGGCCGGGATGAGGATTAGTGCCTCCAAATCCAAGACCATGGTCTTGAGCTGGATAAGGGTAGGGTGCCTTCTCTGGATTGGGGAGGAGGTTCTGCCCTAAGTGGAGGAGTTAAGTATCTCCGGGTCTTGTTCACGAATGAGGGAAGAATGGAGCGGGAGATCGGCAGGCAGATTGGTGCTGCATCTGCAGTGATGCGGGTGTTGTACCGGTCTGTCGTGGTGAAGCGAGAGCTGAGCCAGAAGGCAAAGCTCTCAGTTTACCAGCCGGTCTACGTTCCTACCCTCATCTATAGTCACAAGCTTTGGGTAGTGGCCGAAAGAACGAGATTGCGGATACAAGCGGCCGAAATGAGTTTCCTTCACAGGGTGTCTGGCCTCTCCCTTAGAGATAGGGTAAGCTCAGTCATCCAGGAGGGACTCAGAGTAGAGCCGCTGCTCCTCCATGTCGAGAGGAGCCAGTTGAGGTGGCTCGGGCATCTGGTTAGGATGCCTCCTGGACGCCTCCCTGGTGAGGTGTTCCAGGCATGTCCCACTGGCAGGAGGTCCAGAGGAAGACCCAGGACATGCTGGAGGGACTATGTTTCTCTGCTGGCCTGGGAACGCCTTGAGATTCCCCCAGAGGAGCTGGCCCAAGTGGCTGGGGAGAGGGAAGTCTTGGTCTCTCTGCTTAGGCTGCTGCCCCCGTGACCCGACCCTGGATAAGAGGAAGAAAATGGATGGATGGATCTTTTATTAATAAAAGGAGCACAAATTCCACATTCATACCTGAGATGACTTGGGACGATTATGAAGTTTCAAGTTTAATGGCTTTTGACAATCTGTTTAATTTTGCCATAGCTGATAGAACTACAATGATTTATAAATGTTGCTTCAGTCTGATTTTTCTGTTTGGGACCTCATTTAAAAAGACCCATTGAACAGAGCTTCCTACAGACAGCTCAAGCTAGGTAATCTTAAGAATTTTTATTTTTCTTAAAGGCTTGGTTAAGAAAATAATTTCCAATTGTCTTTTGTTCACTGCAGGAAAAATGAATGTATGTTTAGTGCTTATCACAAAAGTTGAGTAATTGTTATTTTAGCTATTTTAAACAAGAAAAAATACATAAATACGTAACTAAAATCAATTATTATTTGTTCTGTTGCGTTAGAATAATGAAAAAGTGTATGTGTTTGTGTGTGTCTGTGTCCATAGAAAGCTAAACGGCATTAAAACACTGTCATTCATTGATCAAGAGGCTTTTAAGGAACTTCCAAACTTAAACTATCTGTATGTACATTTCTGTTTATTTATTTTGCATTTTGACAGTGTTCTATTTTCACAAAGTAGCAACATTAAAGTTCTGTGATTTATTTGTACCCTTTCAAAAATGCACTGTGTTTTGTTACAGAGGAATCACTAACACAGCTCTTACCTCACTTCCTGTGCTAGAGTTTATTCAATCAAGACGAGAAGATTTTATTTTGTAAGTATTTCAGCACAAACATTTGAATCAACAGCAATTTTTGATGGTGTACAAATAATTTTATTGTCATTCTTTGGTTAAATAGGGAAATAGTGGATAATGTCTTCATGAAGGTCATTCCTGCTAATTCGTTTGCTGGAATGTCCATGAATTCTCTTACTATGTAAGTTGGATCTGCCCAAACAATATAATTTTCATTTTTATAATCATTGTCTTAAGGTATTAGAACACAAACTTTTCCCCATTTTATTTACAAATATTATAATGTTAATGTTGGATTTTTATCAAACCACTAACAATCCATGTTAATATGCTGTTTGTGTCCATTGAGAGGCTAGTATGATGTGGACATTACACATTTACGATTGATTGTGAGAAAAATTAAATACTGAAGAATGAAATTTGGGGTAACAAAAAAAGATGGGAGAAGCTATTTTCTCTTCTCAACTTTCAATAGACTTTATTTGCTTCAAACGAAATAGAAATAGACAAAAAAAAAAGGTCCAAATAGGAGTGGAGGAAAAAATGAGGACAAGAGCACTCGTCCAACTGTTAAGGGGCAAAGGAATGCTTCTTGAGCTCCTAATTGCATTTCTGAAGGGCGAGCAAAAAAGTAAGAAAGTCACCACTGCTTTTTCCATGTTGTTTACTGAAGGATGAAGGAAGAAAGAAAGAAAGTTCTGACAAACACACAGCATGTTTTACCAGGACACTTAGACAGTAGTCAGGGAAGGGATAAGAAAGGAGGAAAAGGCATTCACAAGGGCATCTTCAAAATATTTTGAAATGTTTGTAGGGGTTCAGTTTCCTTCTGTGTCACAGAGGCTTGTAGAATTTTGAGATCTTGGACTACTTTTGAAAAATGGTATATATGTGTGTGTGTGTGTGGTGGGGGGTGTTTCTGGTGACATTTAGGGGCAATTTTAAAACAAAATGCCTACATTTGGGGACAACTGGTGCATTTGGGGACCAAAGTTGAGTTCCCATTTGGTTTAAATGCCATTGGTGGGTTGGGGGTTGGGTTTAGGACCACGGTGTGAATTGAGTTTAGGTTAGTTTTAGGGTCAGGTAGGTACCTGTGGGTTTAGCCTTAGGGTTTGTGTCAGGGTTAGGCTGTAGAAATGTAATGGAAGTCAATGGAATGTCCCCAAATGTATAGCTGGGCAAACGTGTGTGTGTGTGTGTGTGTGTGTGTGTGTGTGTGTGTGTGTGTGTGTGTGTGTGTGTGTGTGTGTGTGT